ATGAATAGAGAACACCAGTGTGAATAGAGAACACTACTGTGAATAGAGAACACTAGTATGAATAGAGAACACTAGTATGAATAGAGAACACTCGTATAAATAGAAAACCCTACTATCCAAGTACAGTCCATTTACCATCTTGATGTTAATGGTGGATTCAGGCGCTCCTTTGACCATCATTCAACTGACTGTCATTTAACCAGTTGTTAAAACCAGTATTTCTACATGTTGCAGTTGTCATTGGTGCAGATCTTATCCATTTACCAATGGTAAATTGACTTCATAAATGGTAGATGGACTGTACTTGTAGAGTTCTTTTCTAGTGTTCCGACCACTCAAAGCTCTTTAACACTACATGTCATCATTCACCCATTCACACACTAATGACAGAACTACCATGCAAGGTGCTACCTGCTCATCAGGACTAACATTCCCACATATAATAGTTTTGCCGTTATTGGTCCAGGTTTTGAGATATCTATCTCAGAAAGATCTGCATCAGTACAATGTGAGTTTACTCCTTTGTATTTTAGAAACAGTGTTTAGAAACAGCCTAGTGGAGACAGTTGACAATGTGTTGTGGATGGTGAGGGGAAGTGACTCTGAAGACATGTTTTTAATGCTTTGAGAAACTCAAACTGAAAACTAAAAGTGAGAGACGTTATATGAACAGGGTTTCCAGAACCCAGACTCTCTGCTAGGCCAGAAATCTCAAGGGGTTAAATGAGAAAACATGTTGTGGTTTAGGTGACCTGACAGTCTACATAAAAGACACGAGTAGCAGACTGAGTGAGCCACCCTGCTAAGGAATGACACATGGTTGTTTATGAGCCCAAATCACAAAGCTTTCAGTTTCACAAGTCATTTATTTTGAGTCAGTGTCAGACTGTCCAGAGCAAAGGCCTGCAACATCCTACCAACTGATACACATGGTTCGAAGTCACCGCTTCTGAAAGTTTAGGATGCTTACATAATGTTCTGTTAGCAATGTTGAGCTGGAGAGACACCGTGGTGTCAGACTTCCTGACTGGTTGGACATAGAACAGAAAATGCCAGAATAGGGTTCAGTATGATTGACTGGTTAGTGTTCTGACTTAAAGAAATAAAGTCCGTGCCAATGCTGCTTCTGTCCTTTTTGTTGATGTCAGAACTTATTTAAGATCGACTGAAGAGGAATCCTCCGTTCCCAGCAGTGTCACAGATGAAAGACTCAGTCTTCACTCTGAACTCGTGCTCTTCTTCAGGATTCAGGTCAGACGTTTGATTGATTCAGACATGTAAAGAAATATTCAGGAATTACAGACAAACTCTTCCTCAAGATCACAGATTCAACAAATCGCTACTTCTGTCAGAGCTTTGTTCTATAGAACTTGGTTAATGCTATGAGCAATATCATCTGGTTCATTAATGTCTGTAATGCTAACATGTTGTAAACAGTGATATGCATCATAATAAGCTAAAGTACCACATGAAGACATTAGGACTGTACACTATGTGATCTTTGTAAGGAATCAGTAAAGTTCTCTGCTGTGGTGACCTTAACTACAACTAGTGTCACGTAGACGTACATGTGGCACTGGTCCTGATTGCAGTCTGCTTGTGGGTTTAACTGTTTATCATGGGCTGTCCATCGGTCGACAAGGCAATGTGCTCACTTCAGAAGTATCTCACAGACGGATGCTCATAGAAATGGTGCAGAAATGCAAATCTAGGTTGTTTGCTCATTTTGGCGTACACATTTCTGTGAATCTGAAAATCTTCCTCAACTTTGGCGTTTGTTACATTTTGCTTGTAATTTCCTATATTACACCCAATGAGAGAGAGAGCGGGGATAACACACCGTGTGGAGCTTATCTCCAGTGGGCTGAGAGTGGTTCTCCCTTTTCTCTCCCTCATCCCAGCAATGAAGTTTATGTCACCTAAATCCATATCAGCAGAAGGTCTGGCTGCAGGGAGAAGCAGGCCAGATATAAATATGTGGGCTCAGGACAGTCTCCCAACAGTTCAATGGTCAGGTCTGATCCCACACAGCAGAGTACGAAGGCCACAGAGAGGCGGTGTAGTGCAGAAGCAGGTGGAGGGCGGCTGCTCTCATTTGCTGAGCTCCTCTGGGGAGAAGGAAGTGATGACAAGGCAGTGCTCCTCTGTGGGGCTGCTGCTGGAGACGGGAAGATTCTCTGGAAATCGATCAAGCAAGAACTGGAGGACAAAAACAAAAGGCAACACTGTTCTTAGAAAGCTGGAACCTTGAAGATACTGTAGGCATTATGCACACTGTGAATAACTACATGTGACTTGTTATGAACACATCATCTGCACATAAAGTTGTTGGCAGGTTGGAGGTTGATCTCCTGTGTTTGCATCGACCAAATTAGTGCCGTCTGATACACAGTGTAAATATAATGAGACCGTGGGCCTAAAGTCTAAAACCGGACTTGAATGAACCTCAGAAATCAATTCAAGTTCCCGCTATCAGACTAACTCGAGTCAGGCTCAAGTAGTTAACATATCTGAGTGTGCACACCATTCTTAAGCAGGCTGAGAGCAGCAGTCCACTTTAGATTATGTGGACGCTGTGATTGGCTTACAGATATCCAATCAAATCAGGGTGGAGTCAGATGACAGTAATCAGAGGTCTAGACATCTAGAAAAGTTAAGTCCATTGGAAGGCCTTCAACAAGAACACAAAGTCATTAAACATATACATCTTTGACATTGTTTTAAATGTATTAAACATGGTTTCCTCTCAGGAAAAATGGATTTGGATTCTACATTTCTGATCAATATCATTTTTTGCAACTGGACTTTTAACTATTTATGCATCTATTATTATCTATTGGGTTCATTTAGATTAAGACTTATGTAGCAAAAGCATAATGTTTGATATCACATGCCACATATTTAAACATTAATGTAGCTCTACATCTTATTTATCATTGTACAATTTATTTTGATATCATTTATTCAAGTCTAATAGTGGTCAATAAAGTCAAATCATATGGCATCAGTCCAGAAAGTCTGAGGTAAAATTATCACTTTCCTGTCCAGTCAGAGTTACAGGAACTCTGGTTGAGCAACAACTCAGGCTTAGCCCGACACTAGCCCGACACTAGCCCGACACCAGCCCGACGGACCAGGTTACTTTCCTAGCATAAGTTGCTATAGTAACTAAGCTTCAACTACGTTGAGTTTGCTTTATGGAATGAACTGAACAGTGGAGATAAGCCTGGTTTATCTGGTAAACTGGTTTGATGGAAGGGGCCGTGTGGTGAATGAGTTCATCGGCGCTCACGTCTTCTGGGATCTGGTACGGAGGACGCAGCCACTGTTTGATTGTCCCACGCTGGAAGATGAGGAAGTACGCTCCCACAGGTATCAGAATGAACAGGACCACGACGACAGGCACCACAGCTGCTATGATCTCTGACTGTTTGGAGTCTTCTCCTGGGGAATGTACAGAACACACACACCATTACACCTCGAATCATGTTCTGACTTCAGAGGCTTTGACTTAAAGCTAGCAACGTTTAAAATAGATTCCACAAACAATAAGATGAGACACTTTAAGAAGCTTGGACTTATAAAGGACCCAGCTGCTGGTTGTTCATGTTGTAGCACATTAAAGCTCATTAAATAATCCAAATCATCTTCGCTTCACAAATAAATTTTTTTGTCTCCTTCTGTATGAATGCATGTCCCATTAATGCACCTTACCAACTGTACTAAACGCTGCTACTCACTAGTCAGAGACGCATTTCAGCCCACAGAGTACACGACACTTTGAATGAATACACAACGAGCACCAACGTGTAGTCAGCTTCACCTTTGATGTAAGGCTGTGTGGTAACAACACATCCCAACAACACCTGCCAAACACCACAAGAAATCCCCAAGTCAAGTTGAACCATGCTTATCATTCTGTTCATGATACGAACAAAGCTGCTGCTTTAACGCTTTTTTACAGCCGACTGAGCTTCATGAAGTCAGAGCTTCATGAAGTCAGAGCTTCATGAAGTCAGAGCTTCATGAAGTCAGAGCTTCATGAAGTCAGAGCTTCATGGCAGACTTTGTGAAATGGACCCTGCTTGGGTCATGAGTGTTTATGGTGACGGTGTCTTAACTATGAAGCCGTTGGCTGTTAGGACAGCAAATCACAGTAGGACCTCTTTGTACATTCTGGACAAACCAAACAAGCAACACAGACGATTGGTTCTTTAACGTGTCGACAACATTTTTTTCTTTTTTGTAGCAGCAGCTACAAACACGTCTTACCGGCCTCAGGGATGAGCTCACACTGAGCACAGGCGCCCAGTCCGACGGGCGTACTGAAGTAAAGGTACTGCACCTCTGCACAGTACCGCTGTCCCACCTGCAGCGCAGGGATGGTCACCGAGGACACAGCATCTACGTACTCCTGTTGACGAGTGGAACAACAACACACATTACAGATCTAAGCACGCTGTCACCCTTTCACTCGATGAATACTGCTTCACACTCGGGGGACGAGTAACAACGGGAGGATTGTGACCATTAGCTCATGAGAAGAGGAAAGTCAAACCCTCGGATCACTATGTGATGGAGAAGTGTCAGCAGACGGCAACATGTGGATTAGACTCATCTCAACGGTTACGGCGGAGTGCTTACAGTACCTCATGGATCACAAAAGGCCCCACTAATTATTGGACATTAGTTTACAAGTGAATATTCCAGAGCTCTGAATTCTATAGAAACCTTCCTGCTTCTAAGGTCTGGTTGAGATCATGTTGAACTTGAGCGATGAAAATACTCTGGTCAATATCCAGATCCACAACATATAATACGATCATCTCAGAAGTATATATAGTGTTCTCCAGGGCTGCATGGTGGCTCTGCTGTGGGTTAGATGGCACACTGTATACATGGAAAGGTTGCCAAAGCCAACATACATATTTTGGACTGAGGACGATAAACGTACACGGCCAGAGTTTAGCTGACTCCGTAGGATAGGTAAGTGAGACTAGATTGTGATTTATTTGATCACATCTAACAGCTGGCTCTCTATTCTATGGTGAAAGCTTCTAATGTTCAAATATAAATGAAAGTTAATGTGAAGGAAACCTCTGGAGAGCCAGATAGTAGAACACAGGCCCTTGGGGAAGCATCCTGAATGTTCTTGTTCCAAACAGCCAAAGGGAAATGTTGAAAGCAGACATTGTCAGTCAATGCAGCTGTTAACAAAGTGGAATGTTTTGGTGGTCAGACGACTTCACAGCTATGAAGTAGAGATTACTACTACTACCTACAGCGACATGGTTCCTCTCACCTGCCGGGGTTCTCCCTCCTTGCCATAATAGACCCGGTGTCGAGCGTGGTCTCCATGTTCCTGAGCCAGACTGTGGTTCCTACGCAGAAGTACAGTCAGGGAGCCCGGCTTTGCACCTGCAGTCAGACTGAAGTCTGGCGTACACGAGTCACCTGGACGAGCACAACAGATATCATGAGTGTTGCCATAACCAGGACAGATCTACTGAAGGTGTGAGAGCCAATACAAACAACTCATCAATCTAGCACAGTGGTTTTATTAAGTTATGAAAGCTTACTGTGAGTTTAAGCTTTTGACACCTCACACCATGTGGCCCACACCATGTAGTTAGGTAGGTTGACACCTTGACTTACACAACTTTAATGTCCCCAAACAGGATGTTAGAAGTCCAGTTAACACAATATAGACAAACAATTAAAACACAGAACAACAGAGACAGCATCTAAGGTCCATGATCTATAAGACATCACATGTATTGCTCCAGAACCTATGCTGCACATAGCTTGTTAAGTTAATGAATGACTTGGTTGGTTCTGATCTTAGGATGTGTGTATGTGCGACTAGATTGGGGGGGTCTGGAGATGGATCCAGACTGTCAGCTGGTCAGGTGCTTCACTTCAGACTGCTGCACCCACAAGCCTGAGCAACTTCTCCTAGTTTGTTCCTATTACTGATTTAGGAATCTCCATCCCAACCAACAATATAACAGGATGCTCCTGATAAAATAGAGTAAGAATTTTACAATTCAAGCTAAAAAAAGTTCTGTTTTTAAGAAAATACTTTTTTTTTTTTTTTTTTTTTTTTTTAAATGGCGTTGGAACATAATCCCAGGAAAACTTGTTGTTCTAAAATCCCAGGTTCCCCTCTCCTCTGGTCTCTGATGGAGTGGGTTGTGGCTTCCTGTAAGCAGCTGGACTCTCAGCATGTCTCCAGACCACAGGGACAATCTCAGGACCACATTTCACTCAAAATCCATCATCAGGCACAGAGAGGAGACTGTTGGTTCTAAACAACAATGACGGCTTCTGAAGAGGTTAGCGTAGCTGCTGCAATAGCATCCGTTCTATCACAACTGGAGAGTATTTCTTCATTGAAAGAAGGACACTGAAGGCTTCTGTGGAACAGATGGTTTCTCTCTTCTCCTGACTGACTTCAGGACGAGTTGGAGTGACGGATGGTTCATCCAATTCCTTTTCCAAACTGTTTATTGAAGCTTTTCAGATGGTTCTGTGTAACAACCCGTCTGCTGGGTCAGCTTAGGGTTGAAATCATTCATTTCCTGAATCCTGAATATTAGACCAGTGAGACCACTCACAACGGTGGTAATATGACAGTGCTAATGTGTGTTTTAGCTGCGTGCTACATTTAGGATATTATGAAAGGCAATCCCAGCATGCATTTAGAGCTCCTGGTAGGAAGAACACTGCTGCATTCGGCCCTGGTGACATGGCGGCTCGTGGGTTCTTACCGTGTCGGCTACAGGCTTTGACTGGTCTCGAGGTCAGACCCCGTCTCTCCGCTTGCACACGGAGCATAACGCAGCCGTGCTTGCCCTTCGCTTTGGTGGAAATAACAGAACAGGAATTCGAAGATATGTGGACACATGCTGGTACATCCGTCCACACAGCGCTGTCAAAGCTGAAGACAAGGAACAGATTTACAATCAGTCCACAATCATGATGTCATGAGCCTTTATTTACAGCTTGTAACACATTTCAAACAAAAGAACCGAGTGTGATTTTAAAATACTGGTTGTGATGCCAATATATACATATTCAATAATTGCCTGACATGTGTCCAGACAAGACAGGAACTGAAGAACTTCTCAGATTCTTCTCATGCAGGTTGCAGACTGACACACAAGCATCACACCTCACCTGCTGTACTGAACGGTGTAGGTGACGTTTCCGTCCTCGGGGGCAGGAGGCCATGTCAGCAGCCAGTTGTCAACATGGACGTTCTGTGGCGGTGCTGGTGGCACCTCAGACAGTCCTGGGACAGACGGGACTGGATGTAGACAGAGTAGCCAATGAGAAGATGATGTTTGACACTGCAGGACTACAGACATTAGGCATATTCCCTGCATGGTTTATTGGGTCAATCTGCCCCGTCTTATCCTGCATGCTGGTGAACTGTCATGCATCATTATTTCTGTAAAGGAAAACACTAAATCCAGGCACCAGGTGACAATTGGAAATATAGAAATCGAATGCAATATGAAGCAGTAAAGCTTCTGTTATCTCTAAGACACATGTAGTCATGACTTCGTCCTGCTCTGGAAGCATAGCGTGCACATTAGTACAGTATCACTCAAAGAGTTCACATTTGACTGAAATATAGTGTGAGTCATTGTATTTCAACGTCACCACAATGTGTCCCTCTATGAATACTGGTGGAAAGCATTAGTGCTCAACAGCTCGGTTCTTAATGACAGAGACCTGGTCTGCGGTCGAAAAGTTCAGAAATGACCTAAGGTCTATTCATAACCACTTCTCCTTGACCTTGAAAACATCATGGGGTCAAGGAAAGATGTGAAAGAGAGTTGGTGAGGAGTTGGGAAAAGACAACGTGGTGTTCAGAGAATTCAACTCTGCTTTCACTAAGATACGTCATTCTGATGTGACGGTGGTCTGCCATGGAGAAACTACAATGACGAAGGACTACAAACAGAGCAACTACAACATGACCCCATGAACTCTATTCCTCTGTATGCATGCAGGCTTTCTAAAGAGCTCCTTCCTTCCTGCTGCTGTCACACTTAATCAACATGCTTCAGGAGAAACAATTCACTCATGTGTAACATCCATCAAACCGTTCAATATCAATATAATGTAGATGCAACGGTTCAGTTGTACTGTGCTTTTTAACAGTATAATACTCTATCATAGGCCTGGCTTGTTGCCGCTGCAAGGAATGATCTACTTTCCTTTCGTAAAGGAAGGTCCAGTGTTTCCTATGCTAAAGGAGCTAATAAAGGAAGCATTGAAGCACCTTTCCTTAGCATTTAGAGAATTCAAGCAGCTCTTCAGCAAGGCCGAGATCCTCCTGCTGGCACCGCAGCGCCAGTCAGCGCCAGTCAGCCGCCACAACTGTGGCAAGCGAGCGGCACTCGTTCAGCACCGTCAAGAAGCTGCTGAGTGGGCGGAGCCACATTTCCTGAGAACACCCATTGCTGTTACGATTGGTCAGCTGCCATAAATCAGTTTTATTATCAGAGTATGGATTTTCGTTGAGTCACCCGTTCTCTGTATACATCCTTAGAGTAACCACGTTGTACGTTTGTGTTTCTCATTCATTTTATTTCAGTACGTGCCACAGTCCTGACGCCTGACTGACTGGCCAGTGGCACAAGGAGGACCCCGCTGTCTCTCCAGCTCTTATCATGGCGGCCACTGAGAGACTTCCGGGTCGTTTCAGTCAGAGAGGAATCTTCCTCAGCAGAAAGGTCTATACGACCGCAGCCCTGCTCTGTTGAAGACTACTGCTGGAAACCATTAGCGACGTTACAGACAGCGAACCTTAGACTGCGTTAGCACAAGCGCGCACAGACACAAGAGATGGTGTTGCCTCACAACTAGAACAGAGAAGTATGTCAAAAACGAAACCTTAACTGTTTACGCTCACGTATTAACGTATTAACGTTACCTTGGGCGGCGATAAGAATACACAGGACATTGAACAGCATCGTGACCGCGTCATTTCACAGAGTGCGCAGAATCCCCGAACAACTTGTCTTCACAGCAGCCATAATGTGTCTGGGTACGACGACAGTCTGGGAAGTTACGAGCCTCCTTGTTGTCGCAGCAGCTGACTTCCGGGAACGCCCCTTAAAGGGAACGTCACCAATATTACGAACTATAAGAAGAAGAAGAAGAAGGTTACATCCATATACTGTGTGGTTACATCAATGAAACCTAATCAATTCAATTTAAATCAAATAATTTAGTCCAGCCCAAAATCACAGATCTTTCCTCAGAGGGCTTTACAGTCTGTACACATGCGACATCCTCTGACCTTTGACCCTCACATCAGAACAGGAAGAACTCCCCAGAAACCTTTAACAGGGAGAAAAGAGGGAGAGACCTGAGGGAGAGCAACAGAGGAGGATCCTCTATCAGGAAGGACAGAAGAGTGATAGATGTCAGTGTACAGAATATATGAATTACTGACACATCACTCATTTCATCACTTCAATGCTGCACCCGGCAAATGAAGAGCTTATGCTTTTTATTGCCAAAATTGTAGAATGATTGGACTTGAAAAAAAGAGACGTTCAATAGTTTCTGGGGGTCAACATCAAATCCATCTTACTTTTATCATTTCTGCTGCTGGATAATATATATTCATGATTTTAAACTGTAATTGTCTGGCTTTTGGAGAAATTGGCCATTTTCAATATTTTAAATATGTATTTGTGATTGTTAAGATGCACAAGAGCCCTTGTGCCGTGGAACCTGTGGTGGATACCAGCTCTGCTAAAAAGGAGGTTTTCCCCTAAAGAAGATACAAATTGTCGATAAGAAACAGATTGTGTGATAGACAGACTGACTTCATGTGTGTAGAGAGAGCAGCCGGCCTAGTGTGGCTATAGGGCCTGACATGAAGACGGGCTTTCTACAGTTTTTGAGTTAGTTAAAAAGATGGTTCAAATCCTCAGATTGCTGCATGGCGCTGTCATTTGTGGTAACATGGGTCATAACATTGTGGACATGGGGGTGTTTGCTAAGAAGACACAGAATCTGTTGTATGACATTTACAAGTTCAGCACCTCGTAACAAGAGGTTACTGCCGATTCTGCGTGATAGACATACGTTTTCTGAAAAGAGCCACAGAGCTGTCGTGTTTTTCAAATGCAAGTTTACAGTGAGGTGAGCACCACAAGCAGAATTCATCGCCACCCTGACCTGGACTAATATATTGTATCTTCATGAGCTTCAGTACAGCTAGAAACCACGAGAGGGAAGTAAAGATGTGCATTCATTTAGGCGTGATCCTGGCCACCTGAAACACTATTATAGAGCGTTCTTTCAGCTCCCTTTCTGGTCTCCTCAAACTCCTGAGAGAAATGTGTCTTTAGCTGCTGAATGCTCCTCTGTGTTCACCAGCTGGTCTCTGTCTGTCTGCTGAGCAGGGAGTGTACAGAGGAGTCTTATTCTCTTCGAACAGCAGCCAGGTTGATGGAGCGCTGAGACTGAAACCTCACTCTCTGCAGGGTGTAAAATCAAAACGAGCTAAAACAATCAAAAGAACCTCTGTAGAATTTAGCGGAACTGCAGAGTTGGTGGTAACCATTTACAATATAAAGTCATTGGTTAATATACATATGATTATATTGACTCAACAATATCATCCTGCTGTCTTGACACAAAGATTCAACTTAATGTGGTAGGAATGGGAAACTACAGAAATCTGCCTAAATGCTGCTGAACTATTATCATATCAGTTGTACATGTCCATACCACCTCTATAACTGTTATAATCATGTTCTATAACTAATACTAGCACTGACATGAATACCTTTCTATGAATGGTGACACTTAGTTCTTTGTCTAATTGTGCTGCAATGACATGAGACATCTCAAGGGTCCAGCTGTGAAGGAGTTCAGAGCCGTGCTCGTGAAATTATGGAGGTTTGCATTGAGTTGAGAAATCAAACTAGACTTGGTTTAGACCAAAGACTAACAGGTGAGACCAGTAGCTCAGACCAAGACAACATCTCAAGACCAGACTTCCATACTACAGCTCTACAACATGCGTGTGTGTGTGTGTGCGTGCGTGTGCGCGCTAGAGAACTCGCACGCAGTAAAAATCACTCATTTTCACACCAGTTTGGTCTTGGGGATGATTTATTTATTTTCATGATTGTCTATGAACATGGGTGCTGTAGATGCATGTGACACGTACACCGACATCACCAGAACATCGATTATATAAAGTTTAAAGTCACAACAGACAGCGATGGGTAGTATGGTGAGGTAATGCAGACTGGAGTCAAAGTAAGACTGGATCGAGCTTCAGATAGACCTGGAAGGTTTCCCCTCTTATCGACACCCGGCCTGCATTTTCATTTCAACACTTGCTGCCTCAGAATGTCCTCTACACGTCCTCCTCACATTGCAGGTTCAAGGAAAAGGCCATTTGTTGAGAAAAGTAATGAAAGTTGTTTAACAAACTGCACAAGTCACAGAACAGAGAACCCTCCATTCACCAAGTGTGTTCTAGCTTCCGACTGGCTTTACAAACTAAAGAAAACTGATCTACATGGAGGAAATGTGACACCTGCACTGAATCAACCAGAACCATCAGGAGCAGCTCTGGGTTCAGTGACTCGCTCAATGACGACAGACAGACGGAGCCGGGGATCAAACCGCCAACATTGTGGTTGAAGAACGAGCCGCTCCATCTCCACTGATGCATGAATGTGAGAGTGATAACTTAGAGGTGAACTCTCAACTAGCAATGTGTAGAAGCAAGTTCTGTTATTCAATTTAATTCATTTTTGTACAGCCCAAACTCACAAATCTTTCCTCAGAGGGCTTTACAATCTGTACACATGCGATATCCTCTGACCTTTGACCCTCAGAACAGGAAGAACTCCCCAAAAAACCTTTAACAGGGAGAAAAGAGGAAGAGACCTGAGGGAGAGCAACAGAGGAGGATCCTCTATCAGGATGGACAGAAGAGTGATGGATGTCAGTGTACAGAATGAACAGAACAGTTACAACACATTCAATGCATATGATAGATGACAGACTGTTATAACCACATTTCTCCCCCAAAACAAAGAAACAAACATGGAAGATGGAAATAATATAACTCCAATATCAAATGAGGAAAATCTATTTGACACAAATTAAATGTCATAAAAAGCTAACATGGTACCAAGATTCTATAAAAATCATAAATGGCACAATAATAATGTATTGATATGCTCGTGTTAAAATGAATACAAGCGTGCCTCAGACAGACCCACAACATCATAACTAAAGCTGTGCTTCATACGCCTCACTAATGCAGCTGTATGAGGGTTCAAATCAGAGCGAGTTTCTTTGCGGATTAGATGAGAAATAGAAAAAGGACAGAAATAAATTCTGTTCACACTCAAACACAACACTGAACTACGCAAGTCCTGACCAGGGTGGAAAGAAGGCCGAGCTGTTTGACATCAACAGTGATCCTCGTTTAGGTCGAATAGCCTCATTCACACACTGATGTTTATCCAATGCTACCGGATTAGCACCTTTAAGCTGCTGATGTCAGCTCGTTCTACCAGCAGGACAGTAAGAGAGATAGAAAGCATGATTAATGCAGACTGCTACACAGATCCTCTCACCCAGTCAGTCAGATAGAGCCAGCTGTCAAGCGCTCGCAGCATGAAGGGTTAGACAGCGGCTGGTGCAGACGAGGGGAAGGACAATTACAACACATCAGAATCAGCACGCAGCACTACTTCCTGCTTGGTGCCAAACAGTAGGGCATATGAGGATCATCTGTAAAGAGACATGTCGACAGCGAAGCAATAGGAAACGTGTCGCCATCACAGCAGATCTGTTTTGTTCTGTGTGCGTCCGTCACACATCTTTTTGGTTTAGTGGTCCGTTATGCTTTCCACTCCATGTTTCACAGTGACGGCTGGAAAAAAGGCACGCTGCACATTATACCACAAACCTCTGTCTTCCTTAATATCATCCTCGCTTCATGCTCTTCTCGACAAACGTCTCTTTGCATGCTTGCCTTCAGACGCACATGTCTACAATGCCCTCGTCTGCGTTCACAAGTTGAGCCTTGAGCCCTGGAACCATGTCCTGCATCTTCACCTGCTCCGAGTCAAAGGGGCCCTGCCCAGAGACTCGGGCCCTCTTGGAGGAGTGGCTGCTGTTGGGCTGCATCAGGCTGGAGCTGCCCCCCGTGGAGTACACTCCTGAGTCTCCACTGCCACCGCTGTCCTGACGACTGTGTCTGCCACTGGAGAAAGTACATTTAGTCATTCACTCGCTGACAAAAACTGATTTATATTATGTGAACACTGTGAGGTGAACCAGAGTATCCAACCTGCTGTCAGGCTCCAGGCCTGATGGGGGCGCCAACAGGACCTCAGAGGGAGGGATGTGGATCTCCAGGACTGGGGGCTCCGGACAGACGGTCACCTTATCACACAACAGCTCCGAGTCTGAATCCGGGGTGAGGAGGCGAGGAATGTCAGACCTAGAGGAGTCCCACAGATACTGGAGGGAGGAGAAGAGAATGGTGCAATATCGAAACGTTAGAATGCTTTGAATTTATCTCGCTAACATTGAAATGCAAACAATGAATAGATAGATAGATGTTCTTACACCATCATCGTCATTCATATAATACAAAAAACCAAACTGGACTGGCCTGCTATCTGCACACATACCTGAAAGGGTGTCGGCAGCTGGACGGATGGGAACCACGTTGCCTTCAGAGTCTTGTAGCACCAAAAAGAGCCGTAGATCGAGAGCAGCATGACCAGGAAGCACAATACCAGAGACACCAGGAAGTACCCGACAATCTGCCACCACGGAGTGGCTCCTGTTAAAGGGACACGGGTACATAGATTATATCATATGTGATGGTTGCATCCGTCATCACCTACATACACTCACACTGGTAAATACAAACACGGGGACATGAATGTATTCAAGGTTACGGTTGCCTCTACAGTGTTCTTCGTTACCCGTCACATGCTATTTCAATCCCAAACCAGATATATTTGGAAGGACCAAACATAGTTCAGATTAGGTGAGTCAGCCCGCTCTGTGACGAGCCTCAACATGTTGAGCTGTTTAGACCAACAGTGGAGGGGAAGTGTCTCTGACAGACCTGCTCGTCAGCTGATGAGCCACACCTGAGCCGGGAGCGGTTCCAGCTAGAAAGCCTCCCCCTGATCATAGAGCGTCTTTTCGGTGGCTGACACGGCTGCTCTAGACATTTCCACACATCACTGATCTCATTTGACACACATGTCCAGATAAATGTCCTCTACAGAATTGCCACTCTGACTTTCTAGGTGCGCCCACTACATTTACCTCCATTTCGAATTCTTTTGAAAAACACATTTCCTAAACCATACCTCTGTTTGCTACCACATTTTACAAAGATCATTGTTGGAATAACATAATAAAACCTATTTCCAAGACCTGCAACTGTGCTTCGCCACAGCTGACTTTACTACAACATGGCAGCGCTTGGAGGTAGGCATTATGGCAGGCTGCACAATCTCACCCTTGGCTTTTACAACGGCCATGGAAGTCATCAGAGCATCAAAATGGGTGGTGGGCGGTGAACGAACTACGGCCGGGCTCCGTCTACCACCCATTCGTGTATATATATGGACGATATGACAACACTGACCACTACTGCAGCGTGCACCAAGCGGCTACTGGAGAACATTAAGTGGGCCCGCATGAAAATCAATCCAACCAAGTCTCAAAGTATCTCTATTGTAAAGGGAATGCTTAAAGACACCAGGTTCTGTATTGGCGACGACCCAATACCAACAGTACCTGAGCTCAAGTCAACTCGCCGCGAGTTGAGATCAATCACCTCGCCGCGAGTTGAGATCAATCACCTCGCCGCGAGTTGAGATCAGTCACCTCGCCGCGAGTTGAGATCAGTCACCTCGCCGCGAGTTGAGATCAGTCACCTCGCCGCGAGTTGAGATCAATCACCTCGCCGCGAGTTGAGATCAATCACCTCGCCGCGAGTTGAGATCAATCACCTCGCCGCGAGTTTAGCTCAATCAACTCGCCGCGAGTTTAGCTCTCGAGTGGTGATATCGTGAGTCACCATGGCAACAGGTAAACAGGAAGAGCCTGCACGTAGAGAAATAAACGCAGACACGCAAACAAGAGCCTAAAAAGAGTCAATAAGTTAACACAACTACGTGTTATTCATCATTCAGCAGACTATCTGACTGTGGATTAAACACTACATCTGAAACAGATCAGCTGTAATCTGACAAAACAACTGAAGATGAAACAGAGTTGAGTCAGGATTCACACTCAGTGACCCTTCGTTACACGCTTCGATACAGACTGAATCATTCAGACTGAATGGATGAGGAACTAAAGCAGCGTGTCCGTCTCTGTAAGAGGGAGGAGCCAGAGAGGAGTCAGGTACCATGGTCAGTCCTCTCATCTCAGGCTTTCACTGCTCCTGCTTTCTGAAACAGAGCCCAGGAGCCAATGTGGTCATGAATCAATCACCGTTTGTCCAAACATTACCAAATGTTCTGCATATTTGAATTAAGGTGTTGAAACATGTCACCAAAATGCCAACAAAATGCCAAGACATATGACTGGCAGGACTTTGAGTGTGTTACCGACAGGTTTTTGGGATTTGGTTTTGCCATTACCTAACACCTCTGTCTCTTTACATAATGACATGTCATCTTAAGAAAGCAGAATGTTTACAAAACAAACACTTGAACACATGTTGGAGAAACGAGCTGGAGTGATTCATAGTCTAACACAGCTGTGTGGACTATTCCTAGCAACGGGCAGTTACCTTCGGTCTGCATGCAGTGGGGTGCGGTGAAGCTGCTCTTCTTGTTGTAGAAGTCATAGCACGTCTGGACGCTCACACAGTACCAAGTCCAGGCCTTCAGGTCTGGCAAAGTCACTATGTTGGCACTGCTACTCAACGTCTGAGTTCTTAAGGCCTGAAGGACAGAGGGGAGAGGAGAGGACTTTAGGGAGGCTACTTCACTTCCTTTACTCGTGAACCAGCACACTACAGTCCAACCCAACGCTTGGATCGTGATGGATGTCTGTGAGGATGTGGTGGAAACCAAAGCACAGAGGTCATTCAACCACATTGTTATCATACATTACTCATGAACGTTTCATTCAAATGAACTACTGGTGAGTGACTATCAGTTCAACGCTATGATTACAAAACGTGTGCATTACATCACAACACTCGCTTGTATGCATCAACTGTAACAGTCTGTATGTGAACCCCTACACAATACATTGCCACGATCTAATGACTGTCCTGGGCTAACACAAAGCGATTCATGTCGACTCAGACGTCCATCAGTCACTTTAGAGCTGTGGTGCATTAGTGGGACCACATGTCTGGGCGGATGGATCTGAATGTTTTTTACATTGATGGTAGTTTGCTGAGATGAATTCTTTGTACTTTGAAGCACATTATCTACGGATCAGGACGTATTTTAAAGACTATCAGAAATCTGTGTGCTATGCAGACAAGGCGAGATGCACTGAGAGTACGTCAACAGGACTTTGGTCTTCTCCTTGATCCTCATTCATATATCTGTGCGTCTGTAAAGCCCCGCGCTAGGAAGGCTGCATCGGAGCAGAAACGCTCCTTTGCCAGGATGCTTCTCAGATCACGTGCCTTTCATGAGTTGGGACTAAGTTAACGTGTGTACATACTGATGCACAGCTCGTGTATATAGGATAAAAAGTATAGAATCAAGACAATATGCCTAAATATAAAAGCAGCCAAATGTGCTCTTTTGTTGTTACATTGTTCTAAATTATAATATTAAGTTACTTCTATTGATGCATCATTTATGTGTCTGCAAAGGTAATGACAGCCAGCAAAGACAATGGACATCCAGAGGTGGCTCAAGCGTCTGCAGTCAAAGATGGCGTGTCACAGTTCTGGGACTCCCTGAGAGGGTCTGCCTGCTGGGGGGCTGCCAGACCACATCCCACCGCTGAACGGAACGCTGGAGTGACGTAAGCGGGCCGGCGCCACAATTCAATTGAATTCACCATCGAACTACGAAAAATGAATCCGGTCCTAAAACACCGTCCGAAATCAACATATTCTTTCGTCATATTACACATAAAGCCGGTACAGCAGAAGGTAACCTACACAGAATACACACAGTCATACGTCCTCGTACAGCTTAGACTAAAATCTGTCTGCCGGGCACATTTTCAATTGACCTTGCAATAGGGCAACAATAGGAGAGGTTGTGACTGGATGTTTTGATATAGTTAAACACATATTTAAAAAGTGTAATAAAAGCTACCTGTCAGAAGGATTATTACTTAGACTGCAGCAGCCTGAAAAAGTCACGCCAGTTTCACAATGAATGTAAATAATTGCATCCTTCTCAGCAGGGGGGCTGGCTCTGTTCACAGACTGTAGTTTGGCTCAGAAAGAGAAAGTATCTATATCACCGGATTATACACAGCGATGCATTAATGTGTTGAAAAGCTGTTTAGCATGGTAACGGTGGAGCTCTTTCTATTTACTTAATAACTTCATAATGGCTGCTTTTTTAATCTGTGGCCTTCGTCCAAGTCTCCTGACACACTCGTTGGCTCTGCATCAGCGCAGGTATTTTAGGATGCACTCTCGTAACCTGCGTCTTCCTCGTCAAACCAGTTTGAACACATACTTACTGGCTGCTTTGTACAATAGCACCTGGCAGGAAACCATGGCACCATAAAAGAACTCATGCGAGATTCACCTTGTAGCACAGACAGGAAACGCCTCCGCTAGATGTACAGGCCACAAGTCAAAACTCAGACAAAAACACTCTGCTGAACATGCAGAACAGACACACAGAACACAGCTGCTCTGCTCGGGCTGATTGTGAGTGTACCACTTGACTCTGTGGCTGCTGCAGTCTCACAGGTTTACCAGGTGTCTTTAGGGACTGAAGACAAAATGGGAAGTGAGAAACGGTGGGGTATTTTGTCCCGATGCAACACGTCTGTGTGGATCAGTCGAGCTGCATGAGAGTATCAACTGATATTAAAGAGATCTGCAATACAAAAGGCTGCTCAAACCCACAAGTTGCAGTCTGAGGAACATTGTGATGTATATTCTTTATGGAGTATATTACTTGAAAGCCATAAGGTATGCATGGGCCTATGGTTTGTCAGATGCGTGTCCTACCTGTGAGTCTACGGAGCGCTCCCAATAAAGGATGTGGTAATACAGCTCGGGGTGGTTTTCCTTCATGGAGTTGTTGGTGCTGGTCAGAGGATCAGAGATGAAAACGTCCAGGTCACTTCCAGCAGGAGACAGATCCACTTTGGTTGGCGGACCCAAAGCAGCTAGCAGGAGCAGAGAGAGGAATGGATGGATTAGGGGCCTTTCAACAGTAATACAACAAGGTTTCCATGTACTAATAATCAATAAGAAGACATCTGAAGACCTCAACTTGGCACTGAGAGGTTGTGCGGCACATTCATTTGCTATTTTATAGAATAAATGATTTATCAAAAAAGCAACTTACACACTGATTGATGAGCAAAACAGTTAGTTGCAGCCCTAATCAAACAGCTCCCAGTAATGTCACAGCCAGTGGACACTACTTTGAATTGTCCGATGTTGATAAATGTTTTTATTCGTGTTTCTGCTCAACACGACTGAGCTAGTCATCAGAGCCGTACTCCAGCATCTGTGTGAGAGGCGTGGGAGAGCGCTCAAAGCAAAGACTTGGGTTTAAATACTGCATACGTCTTCCATGGCAGTGGGTCATACAATGTGTGGATCTCCTGTGAGTCTTCTGATGAGAACGTGAGAGAAAGACCGAGGCTTTAACGCAGAATGTTTCTGTACGTTGAAATAATAACTTGAATGCAAACGTTACGAATGAAGCTTTGAGCTGTTTGGTATAGTCCTAATGACATGTGGTTTTGGGTTGCCTTCTGCTATTGTGCGACCAAACTGTGTGCGGGGGTGTAATATTTGCGTGTGCAGCGGGCCCGTGGTCACGATAATCCGGATCAGCTGACCACCAGCCGGCTGTGACGGCGGGCGCTGGGGTTTGAGAAACGTTCTTATACATTATCACACAAACCACTCCGACAGTTGCATCATTTCCTGAACTTAAAGTGAGCTCTGCTTCTGTCTGTGTAATATGTTGGTGCACAGGAAGCAGGTTCATTCATATGAGGCCGGTTGTTGGTATTTTGGTGGAGAATATTCAAAAGTTACACTGAGAATAGAAGTCTCATATCACACGTTTCAGACACGTCACTCAAGCGATTTTGTCCACAAGAACAAACTGAATAATAATAATGGAATATTACTGAAAACATTGAATGCGATTCCAGCAGGAACATCAGTAAAGCAGTGTGCATTGCTCTACTAATGATTCTTGGGTATCAGGTCTCCACAGCTGCTTGATAATGTCGGCTAATAAACCCTCTCCTTCAGTTCAGCCGTCTGAAGGCAGCAGGACTCATGACAAGTCTGCAGCCTCTGATTGGAGAAGTTCTGCTCTGGAGCTCAGTGAGATCGCTCACAGCCATCAACTGTGTTCATCCATAGGAGGATGATGATGTGTCCTCGGGAAAGACACTCAAATAGCTCCTGAAAGCTGTGCCTTCGGTGTATGTTTGATGTGGTTGTTACTTAGTTTACCGTTTACTTCAGCGCACACACACACACACTTTAGTGTGTGTGACTTTGCGCGGCGCCGTGTGTTCACACGGTGCTGCTGTGCAACATCCAGACAACAACAACAAGAGTTCCTGGAGAAGTATTTCACCGTTTGTTAAAGCATTTTCTCAGGCTTCACTGTGATTGGCTCAGTTGTCTGACAGCCATGACACCAGTGATGTAACCAGCTTAGAGTTTATTGATGAATCCCAACACTCTGATCTATATTCCACATTACCCAGCCCATGCATGTAGCGCCCCTGCAGCTACATGAAGCACAATAGCAGGTGAGTTTGGAGACATCCACACGGTCCGTTAGCCCAACACCTACTGCCTCATGCTGGTTGTTTGAGCGTGCACCACTGAAATACCGTTACCTTGTATCTGACCTCAATGTGTGGGTTGCTGCAAAGTGCAGATTAAGAAATGATTATATACATTTAGAATCTATGTTGGGATCTTTAGCAGTATGAGGTTTAACCTAGAGATGCACAGATTGATCAAAATCAGACGGTGTTCTGATCGGCCCTGACGTTCAACAGTCCTTCAATCTCACATTTCTTTGTGAGTCACACTAACACACCTGTGCCGCAAGATAGTTTTACGTTGCCACATAGCAGCACAGACAGTTACTCCTGTAATTCCAAAATAACAACCTGAAAGCATCTGGACCAACTAACTTAATCAGACGCGTGTTCTACTGTAGTTCATCCCCATCAGGCTGCTCACAGTGAGCGGCTCTTCTGCTCACAGCACGCAGATAAACAGACAACGTTATGAGGTTGACCTGACTTCATTATGTTGCGTTCAAGCTCTACTCAGTAAAAATGAGTATTGGGTGAAGGTAAATGAAACGCTATCATGTGTTCAAATGTAGTTTCTACTGAAACGTGAATAAATCCAGTAGTTTGAGATGATTTCACAACAACATAAATAAACATTAGAGATGAATTATGAGCTGTTTAACTTCCTAACACGAGCTCTAAGCAGCTTATCATTCATTATTAAAACTACTAATGCCAAGATGCTAATATTTGAATAAAAACACAATCACTTCTTGAAGTGATTGTGTTTATATGAAAATAACCACTATAGATGCCAATAACTAAGTAAAAAGATAATTTAAATTTTTGACAGTTTACATTGAGACTGGTACGACCGACATTGTTCAGGAAGGTGGAGCCCTGCTGTAAACTCTGGCTCTCAGAAAGGTGGAAATGGCCGGTCAGACTTCTTTAAACATTGTAATTGGTGCATCTCTAGTTTAACTGATGTGACGTCACTGTGCTACTCACATGCTCTTAACTGAGCTCTACACTGTGGTTGTGTTAGCTCAGAGCTGCATTACTCAAAGCACAACGCAGCAGTTACCTTTCCTAACATCGCTCACAGCTCTACCAGCATCTCCGTCTGGTCGCACACTCTATGCAGTAGACTGTCAAAGCGTGTTTGAATTGTTTTGGATGGTTTGTGGCGCCCCGCCTGAGATCACACGGCTATGAGCTCGTGTGAAACAAGTCTATCCTGTTAAATAGCTGCCTGAACATCCAGAGGGACTAATCCTCGTCCCCCCTCCACTCGTCATCTCCATCTTACCATCTTGATCTGGGCAGAATTCCTTCTGCCCCCAGTCGGAGACATGCCCGTTCACATCGGCTTGTACACGAAGTACATACATGCCCAGGAAGTACAGACTGAGCTCTGTAAGGTCACATGACCTAGGCGACGTCTTCTCACAGGCGGTGCTCCACGTCGGAGTTTTCTTTTTAGACAGCCTGTACCTCCTGAGGGACCGAGAAACAACAACTGTAAGGTAATAACCATAGCAACTGAGAATATATAATGATAGTCTTAAACTAGACTCCCTCAATTAAAACAATACATAAAAACAGAAGGATATATAAGTTAGTTTGGGATGCTACATCTGAGATGAGTAAAAGACATCTCATCTGTTCACCACTTTCAAAGTTTGAAATAAACTATGCCAATCAATAAAACATGTGCTCCATCATCCACACTGCAGCTTATACATCATGTTGTGCGTGAGAAGCTGCTGGCTATGATCCACATCTGGTCAGTAAAGGCTTGAAGTTGTTTCCTGGAGATGGTTTGGATTCCGTCTAGACCTCATCCCACCTCTCCTGGGGGACAGCTGAGACACTCAACGCATTAACTCACACTACCAAAGATCAGAGGAGGTTTCACTTCCCACCAGACAGAGCTGGATCAAAAACAATCAAAACCAAGACTTTACAGGCTGGGAGGCTGATTGTAGAGAGAACTGTAAGATGGATAAATAATCAGAGTAACGTACGTGGGTTTATTGTGCCGAGAGCATCACAGTGATCACAGATATGTATGACTCTCACATACTGACTTTTGCAGGCTGACAGATTTAAGTGTTATCATTATTTTAGCTAATTATTCCAAAAGTTATTACAATTCCTGTCGTGGGAAACATGATGTCTGTCCCAACTCTTATAGTAAGCTGTTGAGATAATATATAAAGTGGTGTAGTGGCCAACATGTGAGCCACATGGATACTGTTGAAACACCTCTCCAGGACATGAATACTGCAAAACGTCCCGTTTGTTTTGCAAGCTGTCATGTTGGTTCTACCAGCCTGAATGTGTATCCAGGCAAAGCACTTCAGAGCTTCTGCTAACAAATTTGCTGCTCTGCTTCACAATCGCCGGTTTCTCTTCCTCGTGAGTGATGTATGTTAGGAGCGTCGCCATCTCCACACTCTTCTTTAAAAAGAGATGCTACATGGTACTACGAGGACATTTTGGAATGTACCACTTTAAGTTCATATGGTCAAATGTAAATATGTATTCACCGGTCCACTGGGAACGACGGGTTAAACTACAAACAAAAAGAAGATCCACGAGAAGACAAGAGGGTACTTTACAACAACAGCTGGAGTTTGAGATAACGAGGTACACCTGAATGCACCTTGAAGTCCCCGTCGGCCCACCTGCCGTACCCCACAAAGCCATGTAGTGATGCTGAGTGGAGGGTGTTTGTCGATGAAGCATTAGCTGTTCATGCATCTCATGGGGAAGGCCAAATGGACTTCAGGGAAATACGATGAAATTCCAGTTCTGTAGTTTCTCCGTCATCTCCGTCTCAAACGGTGCAGGATGCCGGTAAGCTACGCAGCGTTTTCCTTCACGTTTTTTTTTTTTTTTTTTTTAGACTCTCCAGTAGGAGGGGGCGGGAAAGAATACACGGAAAACCGCTGATCATGCCTTAGACTGCAGCCGTTAAACTAGAAGGCTTATTTCAATGGCTCCACTATGTAGAATGGGGACAGCCCTAACGGATGCATGTCTGAGGGACACTTACGCCACGTATTGTGTGGTGAAGCTGACAGCGTGACTCTCTGATGAACTCTGGTCCCAATCCCAGCTCAGTGTGTAGTTGGTGTTCATGGTGATCATGGTCAGGTTCTCTGGTGGTTTCAGTTCTGCATCGACTGAAACAGACAAGAGAAGCCACAGTCTATGTTATTACAATACATCATATTCTAACAGTTATCAAGTTATGTTGGCTGTAAATAACAATTTCTTGATCCAAATGCACTCAATTTATTGTCATATATGATGAAGAAAAGCATCAAATTCTCAGTATTTGTCCTGAGCAGCTGCTCACTGTAGTGTGTGAGAACAGTGCGTTTGTTGTGTTGGGGTTGTTGTTGGGTTGGTGCTCCAGTGGCCATGGTAATGTTACTGAGCAGTGTGGCTCATTCATGTGCTCTGGGTTGTTTTTTGGACAACAATGGAGCTTTGTGGCACAGAAGAAGATTAACACGTATGTTTTTTGCTGTTTATTTTGTTGTTATTTATCCACCCCCCCTTTTGGTGCGAGGGCAACAAAGAATCTTTGTTATTAAGAAATAACTAAACCGTCTTAGAAGCATTCGGCCCTTCATTCATATCTTGAATAACACATAATAAAATCATACTAATCTATGGAACAAGCTTTAATACAACCTTCTGTCACATGAAAAGACAACTTCAAAGCATCTTCAGCCTGCTTTACAACCTCCTCCTCAATGAGGGGAAGTACTTTACATATTACAGAACATAAATATAGTTTTTAAAAGCCACTACAAAAGCAATAAAATACTAAGTCAAATATAAATAATTAAATATAAATAGGGCTGTCTTTCACTTTTGCGTTTTTCTCAACAACGTTCTTGCGTTTGCCATAAACTTACAGGAGGTAACTTGGCCGATATGAGAAAGCTTAAGAGGAAGTCAGTGGTAGCTCACGGCCGACAGACGCATGCGTTTCTGCTGCAGCTCAGTCCATCCCTCTCCTCATCCAAGACAGCTGAACAGCTGCTCACTGTCCGTGCTGCTGCATGGAGCACATTGGTGTTTACGTGACATTTATGCCAGTGCAGGAAAACGGAAGAGATTATTTATCCAACACAAACTGCACGGTGTTAGATAATCCCTGCAATGGTCGACACATAACTAGGGATGCCCCCCGAGAGCTGCTTCTAAAGAGGAACTGATACTAAATTAATGAAACCCGGAGTATTGAGGCGGTCCGGAGTTCTGCTTTCGATCCTTTAGAAGTTCCAGAGTGAGATGTGCTCGTCTCAAACGTCCTCTCTCTGTGTCTCTGTCTCTAGCTCAGTACAGCGTGAGACACACATCATGGCAGAGAGAAGAAAGAAAGAACCATTAGGAGTATCGATAAGAGTACTAGTAGTGCTGGGCGGTGTGCCAGTTCAACCGGTGAGGGCCAATGACATGGCAGAAATGTTGGGAGTAACCGGGGTGGCCAGTGAGATTGAAGCGGTGGCACTGGCCTCCCCGGTTACTCCTTTATCCATTTGGTTCCAAGGGTCTCGATTCAATACAAAGGGGTGTTTCAGGATCTACTCCAGTTCATTGAGCACAATAAAGGCTATTTATGCATCACAATAAATGATGGCGTTAAAGCAGCCTACAATCAGTGTAAGATTACTGATCGTTGATATTTTATAAGGTTTTAAAAACTAATTTCAATAATGTAACACAAAGGCAAGCGGTAACATTTATTCATGCTTAACTTGCAAAAATAAACACATTTTACTAAAATGTTGAGTATTTTGCAATTCTAACCGACTTCAAGAATAACAAGATCATGTTATCCAAAAAATAAAAATGCTGCCAGTTACATAAATAAATGTGGTTGGCTAGGTGCCTCATTGTTTGTTTCTTAAAATAAGACTTAAGACTTAGTGTGATTTTCAACAAACCATGACGCATTCTGTGTATGATGCCGTGAGCCAACAGGCCATGAGACACAGCACTGTGCAGTGCTGTGTCTCTGTGTTTTGAGCTGAAAGTTTGTTTCCATTTATTCCCGTCACTCACTTTGAAAGTGCCACAACGGACGAGGAATGGCTGGTCTGTGAAGTTCAGATGAGATGCTCCTCATTTCACTCCAAAAACCTAAATAAGGTGGCAGCTGGCTGGAGACCGCCTGGAAGCTTCCTGCTGGCTGTGGACTATATTATATAAGAAGTTACATATCCATGGCCTTGGATATTACTGGGGGTTATTTTTATTTGTTTTAAAAGAGAACCATTTTTAAAACAACTTTAAAAAAAGATACACATTTTGCTAACTGATGTGAATCCTTTGACACTCACAATGTAGTGAGTGAACTCAAAAGCCAAAAGAAACAGATAAAGACTAAAGAATAAAGAAACCAAAATGAGAACAAAACAGAGGGGAAATGTGCTACTTCTGCCTGAGACTTGAGAAAAGAAGAACCATGCTGGAAATCTCAGTTGCACAACACTGTGACCTCAACAAAGAGGAACAAACCAAAGACACAATCACTCGAAATAGTTGTGGCTCTTCCAGACACCTGCGATCAGTTTCACCGTCTGTTCTGAAGGACGGTCGTAAACTCAAGCAATAACACATGCGGATTGAAATGGTGGAAAACTGTAAAAAATTATTAATTAAAGCTGCGAGCAGCGATGAACGGGCCCTCGCATCCTCCCGCACGCCGGGGGTGCCGGCGGGACTCCGACCTGCGCGGGCGAGAATTTCTGCGACAGTTGGACAGTGCGGCCGCGAGTCTGACGTTTTTTCCCCGCGTGGACCGCCTGATGCTGGAATTGATGCTTTGCAAATAGTGCACCGCTCCTGTATCTGCTGTGTGGCGCTACAGAACACGCGCATACATGCATTATGTTGCTCTATATCAAGAGTAAACCACATTTTGTAAAAGTCATGTAAATCGGATGCAGTTTGTCAGAAAAGGCTGATTTCCTTTCGCCAGCAGGTGGCGCTGTGAGTACTAGTGAGTATTAGCTTGTAGGCATTCTCAGGCCATGAGTTATGAAGCTTGGGAAGTTTGGAACAAGTCCGGCTGAGTTACATCAGCTTTTTTGATGGGGAAATCACGTAAAGTAGCCGCCCGCTACGGCTAAATGATTACATCAAACGTAAAGCTTTTGATAACTTTTAATCACAATGGTACAATCGTACTGACAAAATTTAAAGTGGATCTGATGAAGTCCCTGGGAGGAGTTCGTTAAAGTATAGTGACTAAAAATAGGCCAAAATCGATGGAAAAATGACACAAGAATCTAAATGGCCGACTTCCGGTAGGGTTTAGATCATGGTCCCAGGAGACTTATATTTAAGTCTCGGTAGGATACATGTGCCTACCAAGTTCCATACATGTAGCGCTGGGGCTGCTCTTTTGAAATATTGTAGGGGGCGCTATAGAGGCAATTTAAAATAGCCAAGACAAAAAATTATATAAAATATTTCTTCCAATGACCTGTGACACATGTATAAAGTTCCATGAGTTTTTGAGCATCCAAAGCCACTAAACCATCAGCCTACTTTTTCATGGCGAATGATGCATCGCCACGGCAACAGCGTTCAACAAAAACGCACAATATTCATGATGATGCATCATCAATGTCTTAAGGCTATCCTTACCAAATTATAAAATGTGACATTTCCTTTTGCCAGTAGGCGGCGCAATGACAATGTGAACATTTTAGCATGGAAATGTCCTGAAGCTTGAAGTAGCATCATGCATAAGGGGTTTTGGATAATGTACCTTGGAGTTATAACAACTTCCTTTTTCATGCCGAATGGTGCAAAATGGCCACGTCAAGGTTCTTCCATGAAAACTCAAGAATTTGATAACTTTATCACAAAGGTCTTAAGAGCATCCTGACCAAATTGGAAGTCGTTCGCATAAATTCTGTAGGAGGAGTTTGTTAAAGTACGAAGGCTGAAAAATGCAAAAAGTGACAAAAAAAGCACTAAATCGGGGGTTTACTGTAGCGCCCATAGTTGTTGAATGGAAAGAAAATGTCAGGTTGTTACAGGATGCGATGTGCACATATGCTGCAAATCTGGTGATTTTAGGACAAATGGTTTAGAAGTTATGTGTATTGATATATAAGCCACACCCCTAAGAAGTTTATTGGTCCATATTTTTTAAACGCAAAGAGATATCAAAAAGTGTTTGAAACTGGAGGTCTTTAAAATCTACATTGGAGTAAATATTTTGCAGCCAACTCAAATAGTTTACAGGATATTCAACCTTTGTTTCTTCATAATGCATTTTATATTTGACATTTCTCTTTACAGAGCTTCTACAAAGGCCATAAAGTAGTCCATGAATATGAGATATGAGTTTACAGATGATCATAATTCTGTCTTTGCATTGTGGAGGTTAGAGACAATAACAAACAGCACGCCGAGCATTAACTCCTCTGTGCGCTCTCAGCTCACGCTCATAGTTTACCATGCGTTGTGAGAGAGACTCTTTTCCTGTTTCATCCCCATTCATAGAAATACAACCAGTGCGTTTATGATTAAATGATTTACTAGAGCAGTGCAAAAGTCCTCCAAAATGTAACTTAAGTAAAAGTACATAACTATTGGCATCAAACATTATATTTCAAGTACCAAAAGTAAACAGTCATGATGATGCATTTATGGAAGGTCTACATCACTGGATCATAACTAGTGATGCATCTAAGTGTTCATCACTTTATGCTGTAGCTGGTAACGGCAGAGCGCATTTCATCTACTTTATAAACTTAATAATTAGGCTGTATAATACATCATATTCATTTTGTTGATTTATATTTTTTATTAAGAATTGAAATCTGAAAAGTAGCCAAAATTGTAACTAACATTGTCAAATAAATTAAGTTAAAAGTACAATATTTCCCTCTGAGATGTCGTGTACTACACGGATAAAGGTACAGGAAACGGAAATACTCACGTAAAGTACAAGTACCTCAAAATTGTACTTCAGTACAGTACTTGAAGAAATGTACTTAGTTAACTTCCACCTCTGCTAAAACAAGAGCACAACATAGTTTGCAGGACGCTCACGTTCTTCATGTAGGATCTGACATTGACTGTCAAAGTGCAGCATACTGATGATTTAACTTATCCGTAACACCTTCTCCAGGGGAGCAGGAGGACCCCCACGAGGGTGCGAGGTCCTCCCACCACAGTCAAACACTGAACTACATAAATGTAAGGTCCATTGATTGCTGTATGTCTTTGTGCCATATTAGGATTTTTTTAACATATATTTGATGATTATCGGGATACTATTCTTAATCGCAAGTATTTGGGCCAGATTAATCGTGACATGAACAGTTCATGTTGTCCCGTGCCTGGGTGGTCTATCTTACGCTAAATGTGTTAATTTACAAAATGAACAAAAGGCTTGAGAAGCAGTAGAGAGCATAATGAGCGGTGGATGGATGGTAAGTGGTCTGAGGACCAACCCTCTGACTGAAGGAGACCCGCTCTACTCAGAGCCCAGCAGAGAGACTGCACATCGGCTTCACTCTTCACTGTCTGTGGTGAACCGACAAATAACTGGTGTTAACAACGTGGTTGTGAGAACACTCGATGTGCAGATGAACATGTGGATGATTCCATTGCAGCGGAGGGATCCATGTCCTGTCATGCTGTATTGTGTTTATTACAGGAGCTGGTACCGACCAAGACAACCGACAGAAACCGTTTAGTTGCTTCATTTTCAATGTTGCTCAACAATTTCATTCAATGCACCTTTACATTTAGTTCTACAACCGCACTGCTATGATTATTATGATCACCTATAGTGCTAATTACTTTTATCAAAATGTTTGAAGTTTGACCTGCATATTCATCTCGTACATGACCCACATATGGTTATTCTGTGTGTTGAACTGTACTGCTTGGAGAACATGCTTTTCCTGCTCATATTGTCTAAACTATTAAATGGTAAGTCTTACCTCCGTTTGAACGTGATACATGACGCACAGAATATCACTTCACAGAAGTACTTTCTGTTTCTCTTAGCACAGCACGATAACAACCTTCACCCTGGCACCGCAATGTTTGGTGCAGGTCAACTTTGCCGTTAGCAGCCATTGTAGTTGGGTCTAGCTTAAAGGTGAGCAAACCTAACCACTTTATGAGCATGCACATTATTATCAACGTGGAGCGGTTGCACAGACATTACTGTGCGACTAGCTTGATCTCGACAGACACAGATAACAACAGGCTAACGCGCCACCAAGCTAACTGCATGAAGAGGGGCTTTCCTCGTTCATGTGATACACATAGTGCTCTAACGTTACATAGTAAAGAAGCTAGACGTTAACCTTAGGCCTGTAGCTTAGCTAGCTGGAACTAGTTACGGTTGATACCTTCTGTAGAGGAATTCCTATCGAGCATTAGCTAGCTAACGCTATCACGACCACAGTCAATGGACACAGTCGTTAATGTAACGCGCTCGTTTGGAATAACATTGAAAACCGCATTAATAGCGTTAACAACTTACCAGCGTTGGTTTGGAAGTACCAGAAGAGAAGGCAGACGTAAAAAGCAGCAGACATGGTTTATATTCATCGAGGTCCTGACAGTTCTTCACATGCACTCATCATCGTCTCCGTCCAGGCGCGTCTCCGTCTCCGCAGCTGGAGCGGAAGTCGGAAACAGTTTCCGGTTGGACTTTCAAAGTAATAGCTTCTTTTCTTCTTCTCTGAGGTGTTAGGGCAGTTGGTGTCCTAACGTTGCACTACACTACTGCCCCCTCCTGGATCGAGTATTCTTCTTCTGTTGAGTCTAATTTACAGTGCACACCCCTATGGTCCACCCAAAGTGATTCAACTCATGACATAGAGACAGTAATACAGAGGGTAACATGCACAGAATACCACGAAGTCATATGTGTATATATCAAAGCTTACACTATGTCTATGTACCCGTCACATATTCATGACACTGACTACAACATCATTTGATGTTTGACCTCTAATGTTGACATAGGGCACATTCTGAATGCCTCTTTAAAAGCCCTGATAACTAACTTCATATTGATCTAATTTGCCAATTAATAGAATAATAACAACAGCAAAATTCCATATCAGAATAAACGTTTTTGCACTTTGATCAGAATTTGCATTGGTTTCTGTTATTGGGGCACTTTGTAAATAGCTTTCTAAGCAGTAGAAACACATAACCATACAACATCTGAAATCCTAAGAAATGTATTCTCTATTCATTATTTTATATTTCCCACTCTGACCCCAGTGTCAATATGAATATGTCACAGCTAAGGAGGCCGCTCTTCTGTAGCGATGGGTAATCGTCCTGGTGAGATGTGGAAAGGATGTTCACTTCTTCATAAAAGCATGGCACTTAGTATACTCATTCAATGTGATGGTCCACACATTTGATGAAATGAAGCCATCACATAAACGTATTGTAGTAGCCATAGCAGCCATTTTACTTTCCACCATAACCAAATGATGTATTTAGCATCATATCTCCTGAACCAAACATGAGACAGGAAAGATGTCTCTCCCTATGTTTGGTGATCAATGATTACAATGATACAGCATCATGAACTGTCCAGGTGAATAGTTATTGGTGAATTCAGTGACATTGTGAGGGACAGTACCTGAGAATAGCTAGACTTTATAATATCAGTGTGCATGCATGTTGTTAGAGGTATAAAAGCTTGATCCTTTGGTTCCTGGAACCTGACAATATAATGACTGCAGAGAGTCGAACAACATTCAATATGACTATAACAGCTTAAAAAGGACGAGTCAAACACAAAGAATAGCTTCAAAGACACCTTTGTTTGATTATTGTTGTCAGCATCTTCAATACCTCCGGCAGCATTTCTTGCAGTCACAGCTTTAGAGTTCAAGGATGGACTTCCTGTGGAAGATTTGATCTCAATTGTCTTCAATATCTTGGGTCTATCCAACCCCAGTCTGTTGAAGATGGCATATTTGGAGCCACCTCAAGGGTTTGTAGCAGCAGCGTCCTCCCTGGTACACTGCTCCTTTGAGCATCTGAGCCAGTGCATCCTCAAGACAGATTTGATAGGGTTGGAGAGAAAGTGCTCTACAATGGAAATGATGCACTCTATCGATACAGATTGTTGCTGATTGGATGCACTCTATGCTAAGGATCGTCGCTGATTGGATGCACTGTCTGTCTTTTTAACAGAATGCTGAATAGTTTATACTTTAGAGTAGCGACTGTAAAAACCTCAAATGTGTTAGATCTCATTAGAAATGATGAAGAAATGATGAAGGTCATAACGTGTGTAGTGGATCATAACATATGAACTAATTGCTCATGAATCATTTATTAATGATTGTTTATAATTACTTCATTATTTACTAAGGTTTTATAGACTAGATGACTTGCAAGAAATATGTGATATGTTAACAGAGCAATTATTCATAATTAAAAAATAAAAAATTCCCATCTTCAAAAAGGGGGACCGGAGAGTGTGCTCGAATTACCGGGGTATCACACTACTCAGCCTCCCGGGGAAGGCTTATGCCAGGGTGCTGGAAAGGAGGCTCCGACCGTTTGTTGAACCTCAGATTCAAGAGGAGCAGTGCGGATTCCGTCCCGGCCGTGGAACAGTGGACCAGCTCTTTACCCTCGCAAGACTACTGGAGGGGTTCTGGGAGTTTGCCCAACCAGTCTACATGTGCTTTGTGGACTTGGAGAAGGCTTTCGACCGGGTCCCTCAGGGGTTCTTGTGGGGGGTGCTGCGGGAGTATGGGGTGCCGGACCCATTACAATGGGCGATCCGGTCTCTGTACGACTGCAGTAGGAGCTGTGTCCGCATTCTCGGCAATAAGTCAGACACGTTCCCGGTGGGTGTTGGCCTCCGCCAGGGCTGCCCTTTGTCACCGGTCCTGTTCGTGACTTTCATGGACAGGATATCTAGGCGCAGCCTGGGGGTGGAGAACGTCAGTCTCGGGGGTCTCGGGATCGCTTCTCTGCTATTTGCAGATGATGTGGTCCTGTTAGCCTCCTCGGATCGTGACCTCCAGCATTCACTGGGGCGGTTTGCAGCTGAGTGTGAAGCGGCGGGGATGAGAGTTAGCACCTCCAAATCTGAGGCCATGGTTCTCTGCCGGAAACCGGTGGATTGCTCCCTCCAGGTGGGGACGGAGTGCCTACCTCAAGCGAATGAATTCAAGTATCTCGGGGTCTTGCTCACGAGTGAGGGTAAGATGGAGCGGGAGATCGACAGAAGGATCGGTGCGGCTGCAGCAGTAAAGCAGGTGCTGCACCGGACCGTCTTGGTGAAGAGGGAGCTGAGCCGGAAGGCAAAGCTCTCAATTTACCACTCGGTCTACGTTCCTACCCTCACCTATGGTCACGAACTCTGGGTCGTGACCGAAAGGACAAGGTCGCGGCTACAAGCGGCCGAAATGAGCTTCCTCCGTAGGGTGGCCGGGCTCAGCCTTAGAGATAGGGTAAGGAGCTCAGTCATCAGGAGGGAGCTTGGACTAGAGCCGCTACTCCTTCGCGTCGAAAGGAGTCAGCTGAGGTGGTTCGGGCATCTAATTAGGATGCCTCCTGGACGCCTCCCACTGGAGGTTTTCCAGGCACGTCCAACTGGGAAGAGACCCCGGGGAAGACCCAGAACACGCTGGAGAGATTACATCTCCCAGCTGGCCTGGGAACGCCTCGGGATCCCCCAGAATGAGCTGGAACATGTTGCCGGTGAGAGGGAGGTCTGGGTCGGCCTGCTTGACCTGCTGCCACCGCAACCCGACTCCAGATAAGCGGAGGAAAATGGATGGATGGATGGATGGAAAAAATAATAGTATGTTTTGTCGATGATTAGTTCATTATTAACTAGAGGTTATAAATGGCTTATATATATATATACAGACATACTGTTGGGGCCTATTTTGCAGAGACATCTGCAGCCTGATCTGAGTCTGATAAGAGAAAGCTCTCTGCCATTCGATGGGATTCAATCCGCATGTAAGGAGGCACGCAACGTTGTGTTTGAAAGAGAATCCAGGTTAATGTTTTACATTCGCTGAACGAATCTACTGGACTGTTTGTTTGTTTTTGTTTCGCTTCCTGGAAGAGGACGTGAAGAGGATGTGATGTAGCTACGTTTAGATTACATCACACGTTGTCTGAGCTGTTGTCTCGCCTCTCCCCCCCACACACACACATGCATGCACACACACACACTCCCCTCTTACCAGTTTTGTTGGTTTTAGATAGCGTGTTCATAAATGTATAGTAGTTGTTAGTTTTAGATATTAGTTGACTAGATCATTATTATTGGAACTTAATAAACTGTTATACTTTAAAGAGCAGCTGTCTGTGATTACGTGTGCATGTGTATTGTGATAACAGCTGATATGTGGTCTGTGCTCGTACTCACACCTTCACTGTTCACTCTGAATGTGTAATAGTACTCAGACTGTTGACATTGTGAGTGAACACTAATTATGAGACTTAGTCTACAGTCTGGTTATTGGTCCCTGTTCTCAGGGTGGTGCCCCGTTATTATTAATAATCGTTAATAATCTTACTGACATTAATAATTCTATTGATGTCAAGAATTTAGTTTTATATATGCTGATAACTCAAACACGCTCCTTTTCCTTCCCAACACTACATACATATACAGTACATACACATATACACATATATGGGATATAGATTCAGTTTTGTATATATTCCTGATTCCCAACATCTTAAAGCTGCTAACTCTCCTCAGCTCATCCCAGAGACAACGACAAACACACTTTCACTTCTAGCTTCACTTCACTATTACCACTGAATATATTTTCATTAGGTAAACCTTCATATAGCAACAAGGACATTTAAATTAAAACTGTATGCTTTAAAAAAAATGTGATGACCATTGAATGGCAGATGATGCAGTTGTTGTCAGTACACCTCCACACAGAAACCATGGCAGTGTAAACACTTTAGTGATGGCAGCTCCAATGTGTTCCGGTCCTTCTGTGCAGTACAGTGTGTGGCAACGCCACGGTCAACATCACAACATCACACTTGGATAAGGTGTCAACCCTACACCTACACCTCTCTGTGGCTGACACCTCATCCCTTCACAGTGACTCCTGCTCCAGGAACATACGGCCCTGCTGCAGAATGTGTTGCATTAAAGCTCTGAAGTAAAGCAACAACCGATGATTACACTGTTTCTCAGTGTCTTTAACGTTCCCCCTGCTGATAATCTCTTAGCAGTCTCAACTGACTCCAGCCTGTCGATTGGCTCTTGATCACTGCTTCTGTGCTGTTCAGTCTTTCCCTCGATCTCTATGTGGTGTCAGGCTGTTTACTGCAGTTGCTCCCTGCTGCCTCCAACGGTTGCCCTTCCTCTAGAGTCCTGCCATCTGCGATGATGCTGACCTGGTTGTAGATCTCGTCAGGGGGATGGGAGTTACGCATGGCTAGGTACATGGAGGAGTTGGGGGGCGCCAGCAGGTACTAAGGGGCAGAAAGAAAAGGACTCAGGTTTGTGTTAAATACCTGGCTAAGAAAGACAAAAGAAGGTAAAACACTACAAGAAACATGAATAACTGCATGAACACTAACATGCATACAGTGGAAATCGGTATGGCAATGTTGTGGACATCACATACAAGGTGGTCATGTTCTTTGCTTGCCACACGCACCAAGACTACAAACCACCTTGTACACACACAATGCCATGCAGACACACACACACATACACACCTCCTTGAAGTGCTGAGGCAGTGCATCCTTTGGACAGAGAAAGTGGGAAATATGTTTCCGATACACGACTGCAACCACCACCAGAGCCACGGACATCGCCACGATGCCAAACGTCACCACAGCTGCCACCCACGGAGTCTCTTCTTCTGCAACAATCAGAACAAGAACAGCAGAAGTCATTTCTATCGTTCACTTTGAATCAGTCACTGCAAAGCTCAACACGCGACAGCTGCTGAATGTTCTGTCCACTTACACTCAGATTATCTACAGTGAAGTTGCTTACTTTAAAAAAATAAACAAATGTATTATAATATTTAGGCATATGCTACCAGCACCCAGGTTAGGGTTAGGGTTAGGGTTAACCCTAACCCTAACCCTAACCCAGCTCCTACCTCTCCCTGCTGTAACCACCAGCTCCTACCTCTCCCTGCTGTAACCACCAGCTCCTACCTCTCCCTGCTGTACCCACCAGCTCCTACCTCTCCCTGCTGTACCCACCAGCTCCTGTACATGCAGTGCACTACTTCATGCCTTGGCTAACTCTGGAGCAACCACACATACATATTGCAAGTTAAGCAGTGCTGATGACCAAGAGATAAAAAGTGGCTATAAAGCTGACTTGACCTGACTTTTGAAGTGAAACACATTCTATAGAACACGTTCTTTTTAACTGTTGTTCTAAGAGCAGTTTCTGAAAAAAAGTGTTTCACCTAAAATTTTAAGGTTAAAGATTTTTTTGTCAACATTGTTATTATCACATTTCAGTTCTAATAATAATAATAATAATAATACCACATTTTATATATAGAGCGCTCTTCAGAATACTCAAAGACATTAAAATCATCATATATAAAAGCTATACACTAAAAACACAAAACACAATAATGGTCACACATCAAAAGCAGTTTTGAAAAGGTGAGTTTTAATTTGGGACTTGAATAGAGAAAGATCGGTGCAGTCTAGGATGTGTTTGGGGGGAGAGTTCCAGAGGGAGGGGGCAGCTATGGAGAAGGCTCTGTCGCCCCATGTCCGGTGCTTGGTCCTGAGTGGAAGGGACAGGAGGTATCAGAGGAGCGGAGCCGACGGGATGGAGTGTGGTGGTGAAGCAGGTCGTGAGGTCATCGTTCACAACAAATTCAATAAATAATTAGAAAGATAAATAAATGGTAGATGGACTGTACTTGTATTTATTTTTTCTAGTGTTCCGACCACTCAAAGCTCTTTAACACTACATGTCATCATTCACCCATTCATTCATACACTGATGACAGGGCTACCATGGAAGGTGCCACCTGCCCATCAGGAGCAACTTGGGGCTAAGTGTTTTGCCCAAGAACACTTTGACGTTGACTGGAGGAGTCGGGGATCGAACCCCCTGCTTTAACTCTGACATTCAGCAACTCAATTAAAAACCAGACCAAAAAGGTACGTCTCGTGTCTGCTTTTAAAAATACCAACAATTTCTGCTGCCATTAGGTCCTCAAAAAGGCTGTTCCAGAGACATGGACTGTAGAAATAAAAGACGGCCTCACCATGGGTTTTTGTTCTAACTTTAGCAATAAATGAAAGGCTACTACAGAAGACCTGAGGGTTCTAGAGGGTTCATACCCTCAAAGCAAATCTGATAAATAGATCATTAAGAGCTTTATAAACCAATAAAAATACCTTAAAATCAATTCTAAAGCAAGAGTCTTTAAGATGGGTGTAACGGGTGCTCTCTTTCTGGTCCTAATCAGCAAACACACGGCCGCGTTTTGCAGTAATTGCAGTTCAGATATATTCTGTTTTAGAAAGTCCAGAAAGTAGAGCACTGCAATAGTTAATACTGCATCATTGTCTATTGGCTTGAGAGAGAAACAGTCGCACGACGGTTCGATCCTCCAGTACACATGTCCAAGAGAAGAAGATACTGAACCCCACATTGCTCCCCGAGAATGTGCCATTGGTGTGTGAGTGTGCGTGGATGACTATGTGTTTAAATCCTGATGGGCAGGTGGCACCTTGTATGGCATGTATCAATGTGTGCGTAATCTTTATTCATGTCTCCCTTTATCCTGCTGCATGATACAGTATGTACGAACATCCTGACTGGGACACGGCTCTTTGTCTATCAAATATAATAATATAACATTAAGATCAACAATGCAAACTGACACAGTGTAACATGCTTAAAAAATAATAAATAAATAGAATTATGGAGCAAGGTATTGCTGATAGCGGCCGATATACACGCCAGCAAGTGAATAAGGGCTCTAGCACTTCAGGCACTGAACCGGTCTGTTGATGAGCTCCAGCCCCCTCACGGCAGCTCAGTGGACTAGCATCCTGACACACCAGTGTGTGGAGCTTTCTCATCTCTGGAAACGCGTGGGCCAATTAAGGATTTGCCATATATTTTTGTAAAACATCCAATATTTGAAATCTGCACGATGAAATAGCAAACGAAAACTGTAAACCCATTGTTCCAACTGGGTAGCATACCTTTGGACTACAGGTCAAAAACGTGAGCTTCTTGAGTCACTCCTACCGGGCCTGTCTAGGTTGAAGTGGCGGGTAGCATCATAGATAGGCTAACATTAGCATTTAGCAGCCAGTAGCCAATCAGAGGCAGAGTAGGGGCTGCTTTCAGGGGAGGTACGCCGCATACGTGCAGAATGAATAGGCTAGCTAAACGGATCTGGCACTGAGATAACTTTAGATGTAGTCTAAAGTCAGTCATGCTCGTAAGGCTCTGTAAGGCTGTAACACAGTGGTGGTTTGAATGAAATGCTGTTGTGACACAGAACTATTACAGTACTTGCATGTAAAAATATAATTCCTTATCTCTTAGTTCACTTCTCTTCTGTTTGACAACTGTTCATAATACCACAGGAGATGAAGATGAACCTAAATGTCCCTTTCAACTCACGATACGTCAGGTTAGCAGCAGCAGCAACACTTGTTCTGACTAAAACTAGTTGTCTTTGCTTTTTAACTCTTTCATTTTCACCTACGGCGAGCCACTGAGGTCATCGCTACAGAGAACATGCTCAGTATTAGTTCCTACTTACTGTCTTAGAGTAAAGTCTGATGTTCAGCAGGTATAATGTTTACCATGGTCATCATCTTAGCTTCGCATGTTAGCACGCTAACGTGTATTAATTAACGCCAAAGACAAAGTGAGGCTGATGGGAATGTCATGAGCTTTGCAGGTATTAAGTCATAAACAAATACAACATTTGACCTGATGATGGGGCTTTTTGTCTGGGAAGCGTTCATATTTGTCCAAAGTGGGCTACCAATCCATCCAGTAGATCTATTCTCCAGTCCTGCCTCTAGCACGGCTTGAAACCTGTTCACCACATCAGTTTCTTATTGTAATCAAATCATTTTCAGTGGTGGTGTCAGTCGCAGGTGGATTAAAGGATGTATGGCAGGCCGCCCAATGTGCTCTGACAAATAAATCAATTGACAGAAATCTAGCAAGAGACACTTACCGCTTGTGGTGCTCTCACAGACGGCTGCGCTAGGCTTGCTGGGTTTCCTCTCTGTGATGATTTGGACTTGGACGCAGTACTTGGTCCAGGGGTCCAGGTCACTCAGAACAACTCGGTTCTGCTGTATGTTGCTGTTGCTTCTGGCCTGTAGGAAGAACAGAAGTGGTCAGTTGTGTGGTCTGGGCTGCACAGCTACAGGACACCACAGAGAGAGAAACAGAACTGCTCACAGTCATCAGGCTGCCATCTCATCCTCCGATGATTAGCATCTGACTGGCTTGTGGTTTTGACTCCAAGAAATAAAAAATGAATTTAACAAAATGAAATCACAGTACGGTGACATGCAGGACATGGCCAACATGAATATGAAGTGAAGCAAGGACAATATTGTCACAGTATCATTCTATGGCAAAGTCAACATGATTGTTCTGCAGCGACTGGTTTCAAAAGCGTGTTTATGTCCAGATGTCATCAAAAACATTACACAAAGCACAAGAATACATCAAATAATGAACCTTTAAATGCTCATGTACAGCACAAATATGACACGCTTTAGTGCAGATAATCTTGTTCCCCAGGATGAATTCTAATAACTTTGATTATTATTATTAACATTTCCCTTCTTCTTGAACCCTTTCTATTCATCCACACGCGTTAGCTACTAACTGGCAAGTGTCAGCATGACATCATGCTGAACTGGGATGTGATCATAGCTGCTAAACACGAGTACACGATTACATTATGTCTAAATGGTTACTCCACTTTAATAAAACTTCTTAAAATGTATTCACAGAACCTTTATTTGACCAGGATATATTCGGACAGTTTCATATACAAGCACAACCAACAGACTTCAAACTAACAGCATAAACAGTTAGAAACAACATCAGAAATGTCTCATAAAAGAGACAAGCAGCTAATTGAATCAACCAACGATTGAGTCATGTTCAGTAACAGGACAGACAGGCCTAATAGTTCTTAATCCTGTTCTTAAGATCATGAGTGCTTGTAAAAAAATTAAATTTAAAGTGACTCTGTAGTTCACAAAGTTTAAAAATACTTAAAAGAGACAGTAATGGTACATGGACTGTACTTGTGTTTCTATTTTCTAGTCTTCTGACACTCAAAGCTCTTTAACACTACATGTCATCATTCACCCAGTCACACTGATGACAGGGCTACCATGCAAGGTGCCACCTGCCCACCAGGACTCTCTAACATTCACACCGCAGGCACAGCTTGTGTCTTGCCCAAGGACACATGGACATGGACTAGTGGAGCCGGGGATCGAACCACCGACCCTCTGATTGAAACAACGGCTCTGCTCTACCACTGAGGCAGAGTTGCCCATAGAAAAGAGGAACGATAGATAGATTTTGTCATTTTTCAAATTTTAACTCCTGGTGCAAAATATTAAACTGCGGGTGCAATGTCTGCTTCTGCATGCATTATGGGAAACATGACAGCTCTAGTAGATGAGATTGGGCCCCCAGCACTGGGCTCGTCACTGGCTGAATCTGAGTGGCTACACAGCCACTAAGTGAAGGTGAGGGCCCTCTCTGGTGGTGAATGCCATCAGAAGCTCTACCACGAAGTCAACACACTTACAAAACCCAAACACGCAAAAGTCATATGGGACTCCAAAGTCAAACATACGGGACTATTTGGGGTCATCTATATATTAGAAGCCTTCTCCCGAAATGTGACAAAATCAAAGCCCTATTGTTGGATTCAAATCTGGACTTTTATTCCTCAGTAAAAGTTGGTTTCATAGCAAGGTTGTAACTACCAGTATGACGTGCCCAGGTATAGATGTTTTAGAAGAGATAGAGACACCAGAAGAGCACGTGGAGTGGTTGTTTGTATAAGGTGCTTTAAGTGTTTGAGTTTGATTAGGATGTCTCAAAAGAATGTTTAGAAGTTAATGTATATCTATCTATCTCCAGAAATGCACTTCAGTATCTTTAGTCTTATACAACCCAAGAAATGAACAAAGAAACGCTTTGAAAACAAGTAACTAAAGAACGACGGGCCGCAAAATCGATACATTATATCACTATGATATCTGATGCAAAAGTAAACAATTCGTGAGTAGTAGGAGTACATTTAAAAACGGTACGTGAACTCAAGATCAGAACCATAATTATCTCGGACATAATCATTTAATGATTATTTAATTGTGTATGTGGGGGTATATGTATGCTGTGTATGTGTCTGTATGTCTATACATGAGTATGTCTGCAAGTTGTACTGCTGTTCCCAATAACACTACAAATATGACACACATATACCACCCAGCACTAGCGCTGTGTATTCCAGCATTTGTCTCGTTATCTGATCTTATTACTTATGTTCATAAGAGATCAAGAATACAATGGCAGCAAGCATAGATGACTGCATTCAAGCCATCACTCGCTCATCTCCACGGTCAACACAGCTAACGGACGCTAAATACAGTGCCTTGCATAAGTATTCACCCCCTTGGATGTTTCATTCTTTTGTTGCCTTTATACATGAAATCATGGTCAGTATAATTTGGCTTTTTTGTCAAGAATTTGCAGAAGAAGCTTCTTTCATGTCAAAGTGAAAACAGATTTTTACAAACTAATGTCTTGGAGAAAACAACCCCCCCCCCCCCTTGATGCTCTGAGCCTTTAAGATGAGCTCAAACTGCACACAGGTCACCTCTCCAACACAGATGACTGAGTCTTCTCTGCGCAGAGAATAAATACTTAAAGGACAAACGTCTTTCCTCGTCTTTCCTTCTTTCAGTATTCAGTATTATAGGACTCACTCGGTACTATTGAAGAGGTTTTTTTCCACCTCACTACACGTTTACAAAGGGTATGTACAAGAACATTGTGTGGTCACAGATGTCCTCATGAATACTGGGATTTTATATTTAATTGTTTTCCAACCCAAATATGATTAAAGATATTTCCCTTACAATTTAGTGGCATTTGTTTTAGGGACACGGGTAACATCTTTATACTGCTTGTAAATATAATCACCAGAGAAAGTCATCTTCAGTACTCATAAGGTTGGAAGAAAATCAACAATCACAACATCCCTCGCTGAATACAGAACAATATGACTGCATGAATTATCAAAAACAGACTTCCCGTTCCTTACGCAGTCAATACAAAAACGGCCCTTTCATTGTTATTCTGAGAATAACGGCAGAAATAAATGGACACCCAACATCTTTGACAAAATGTACCCCAAACTAGCCCAACCCAGACCTTCAGCTCATCTTTATTTCACTAAATATTCTGCTTCAACCAACATTTGTTGGCATTTAGCCCTTCAAACACAACCTTTCCACTGCGCTCAGAAAAAACTACGGCAGTGTAGGAGCAATCTATCTGCAAAATAAATGACATTTATAGAACCACAATAACACAGGAAATAGATATTGAGTACAGCTCCAGGTACTGCTGCTGCTCCAAGGTGGAATCACTAATGTGCCGGATGATGAGAGTTCTTGGATGATGTTAGCATTCATGTTAGCATCTCTGTACTATGATGTTGTTCGCTTTTCTGCTTTACATACTAAATCATTTCAACATGTATAATTAGAACATCTAATCGAGTTCATACTTGGATTGAGGAAGAGGAGTTCAGGGGTCAGAAAATCTAAATGATCAGTTGTGAAAAGGAGCTGAAAGTGACTATTGTAAGAGTCTGATCACACCGAGACACGTCGCTAACAAACGGCAACCTCTGAGGCTGGAACAGGAAGCCAACGAGGGGGGGCAAGAACTGTATTTCCTCAAATAACCACTTGAGGCTGGTTCCAACAGATCCCCTTGTTAAAGTGACCAACATGGAGCAGAATTGAGGGCGTAGCTGCTCTGAGTGACAGGTGTGTGTCAGCTTGCAGTGGTCTCTATTTTCCTCTAACTCAAAGATAGTCGACATGAAAGTACTGCGACATGAGATGTGAATTCAGCCTTCTCTCTCACATACTCCAGAGCTCGTCACAGTAGCACAGTATATAACGCGCCCACACACACACACACACACACACACACACACACACACACACACACAC